GCGAGTGATGGCCACTGGTGGTTGTTGTGAGGAGAGAGAACAAGAGAGGGGCTTGGAGCTAAGAAGAGCCCTCAGCAGAGCTGTTTGCACAGACTTGTGACAGATAGGATGGTGACACAAATGGAAAAGTGTCTTGGAATTCTGACCTGGCAAGAATGTGAGCAAACCTGTTCCCTCCACTGCTGCTTCAGGATCCAGCCCTCACCCTCCTGGCCTGTCACCCTTGCCTAGGTTCTTCTTTCCTCTGCCAGTCGGTGCATCAATGGTGAACATTGCCAACCTTCTTGGAAGCCACTCAGTCCTGTCTCCAAAAGGGAGGAAGGACTTCGCTAGTCCTGGGCAAGTTGTTAGGCAAGAGAGTTCAGCTCCAAAGCTGCCTCTCAACCCTGCAGGCTTCCCCAGAGTCCCACCTGTGGCCCCAGCCCACTTACTCCTGTCTCTGTCTCTCTGGGTGACAAGTGTAAGGTCAGAGATGCACTCTGAAGAGGACTTTGATCTGGAAGAATACAAGCCCACTCAAAAGGGCTGGGGCAAGATTTCTTAGGTGCAAAGCCCCTCCACAAGCATAGGCCAGCGAGGGAGACAAGTGGACCCACACAATGCCAAGCTTTGGACACTCTGGACCTTGTGGAACCCTCATAAATACTGGAAGCCTGAGGTCTGATCCTTCTTTGATAAAGAACAGAGGTTCAGTGGATATAACTTCTGGCTGGAGTTAGTGACTCCTCAACCCCTGGCTTCAAAGCCCACGTCTAGTCTATCATGGGATGGAGGAAGAATCTGGAACAGAACAGGCCATGCTCTTCAAGATCAAAATATTTTGAGGGTACAGCCTCCGATCTTTCCAAATCACCTGTGTATATTCTAGGATCCCAGATCTGACAAGGATTGCCTGTCACCTTCTCTCCTGCCTGGATTCCTCTATTTATCTGCCCACCAAGCAAAAACCAAAAAAAAAGCTGTAGCAGCTCAGAGGCATGTTTGCAATGATTGTACTGACAGAGTCAAGTTCTCTTGTTTAAGACACCTCTGAGGGCCACCGAGGAAAAAAGGACTTGCCCAAGGTGGCTTAGCTTTCCCCACTTCCACCCAGGGAATTTTCTCTCTGCCATGTCAACACCCACAGCTTTGCCAGGAAGACCCAGGAGCATCCCAGGTTCCCCATAGGAAAGGAAAGGTCCCCTAAGTCCCTCTTTTCTGCACAATGGAGTGTAAGGTGAGAGAAATCCAAAGGAGGCAGGGCAACCAGATCCCTAAGTACTCTGTTTAAAAGATAGATTCTACTCCAGGGCTCTAGAATTCGACCGCCCCGGGCGGGGGCCCCCCCCCCAGGCCAGCACAAGATAAAACATGTTCGTTTTGTATAGTACATTTGTATAGTACAGTGCCTGTGGAGGAGGATTGCGGTCCAGGGAGTTGAAGGCTTTGACTTGGAAGGCAGAAACTGACAATGAGTTCTAGTTTCATTGCACATAGTCCTGGCTGGCCTGAAAACTGCTTCGTAGGTTAGGCTGGTCTTGAACTTCCAGCAATTCTCCTGCCTCCCCAGTACTAGGATTACAGGTGTGTGCCACCATTACCTTGCTTGCCTCCCTGTATTTGATTGCTGTTGGGTGTTTGTTTGTTTGCTTGGCTGGCTTTTTCAACACATATTCTTAGTAGTCTAGGCTAGCCTCGAATTCTTGATCCTCTTGCACCACCATCTTCCCCCCAGATGTATTTATTTATTTGCTTGGTCATTCATCAGTGCAGTTTCCTAAATGTCAGCCATTACTATAAAATTCCCTCTTTTGTGTTGCTGGAATATTATAAAATGTAATCATTGCGCCTTATACATTGCAAACTAGGAGACTTTTTAACCTCCTGCTTTTGCGTTGGACTTTTTAAAGATTTTTTAAATTATTATTTTATGTGTAGGATGTTTTACCTTTATGTGTGCCTGTGTACCACATGTGTGCACCCACAGAGGCCAGAAGAGGGCATCAGATCCCTGGAACTAGTGTTAACAGATGATTGTGAGCTACCTTGCAGGTGCTGGGAATCAAACCCAGATCCTCTGGAAGAGAAGCCAGTCCTTTTAATCTCTGGACCACGACCACCTCTCTAGTCCCCATGTTTGACTGTTTTACTTAAATGAATTTAGCCTCGGCCTGAGCAAGAGGTCAGTTTATTTAAATGCAGCCACAATAAAAAGAATGTGTTTGCCTGGGTGCCGTCTGCTATTTACCTTGGATCACCCAGAGGCATAGTTGCTTCCTTCAGCTCTTCTCCTCACATGTTTTTGTGAAAAGGACAAGATTTGACAGCAAATGACCTTCCACTCCTAATCCCATAAGAAGTCTGAGACTCAGAGACATCAGCAAGGGACAAAGAGGCTAGACAGACTCAGAGAACCAGTAACTGGCTGGCCTAGGGCACCTAATGTGTCAATCATGTTTCCCAGACTGAGCTGCTACTCAGGAAGGGAAGAAGGGCTGTCCCCTAGGACTGGTCTGTTGAAGCACCCTGCAGACGGCACAACAACCCAGGATACGTGACCCCAGGGGTGTAGATAGCCTTTTAAGCAGGGACCACACACTCTCCAGTGGACTCTCAGAATCTTCCAGTTTTTTCTAGCAGGGCTAAAATTTCAGCTAAAAACATTTTACTCCCAAAGAAACTGCGCTGCGAAGGAACTGGACCAGTTAAAGCCGTTAATGGCCTCCGAGCACCCAAGCTTGCAAGTACTTCCTTCTTGGTCCCTGCTCAGCCCACAAGCTTCTGTTTTCCTCCCGGAGGAGCAGAACTTCTGGGACCCTGTCTTGTCCTCTGTGACCCAAGCCCTCTTGCTCAGATGACAGAGCTTGCTCGTCTGACTTTGAGGGACCACAGAAACAGCCTTGCTTGCCATGGGACTCCTGAACTTTGGATTAGGACAAGCAGTCAGCTGTGGATCCAGGCAGCACCTATGGACTTGCTTGGGACATCCACTCAGGACCCCCAATTAAAGAGAGGGAGGATCTGGTGTGCCAGAGAAGTACAGGGAAGGTGGGCATTTGTGCAGAGCCAACTGCTCTGAGGGTTGCGGATCCCCGCCCCTCCCCCCCAGTAAGATTCTGTGTAACCCGCCTGCCCTTGAGCTCTGTAAGATGGCCTTGACTCCAAGTATTGAATGACGCTTTGCTAAGACTGGCTGCAGTGGACGCCTGCTGCCTGTAAGCAAATCAATGGCAGATGCGGTGAAGGCCATCCTTCAGCCTCCCAAATTGGACTTGGCACGCTAGAGCTGCCTGAGGACAGCAATGCCACCTTCTTAGATTGACTAGGGTTTTATGCCACCTTCTTAGATTGACTAGGGTTTTATGCCACCTTCTTAGATTGACTAGGGTTTTATGCCACCTTCTTAGATTGACTAGGGTTTTATGCCACCTTCTTAGATTGACTAGGGCTTTAATATTCGAAAGCCTCAAACACAACATTCTCAACCTGAAGACTGAACAACCCTTTCACAGGGGTCACCTACGACCCCTGGAAAACAGATATTTACATTGTAATTTACAACAGTAGCGAAATTACAGGTATGAAGTAGCAATGAAAATAATTTTATGGTGGGGCTCACCACACCATGAGGAACTGTACTAAAGGGTCACAGCATTAGGAAGGTTGAGAACCAGTGCTCTCACAGAGCCCAGCACAGAGGTCCTGGCAATCTCAGAGCTTAGGGGAGTTAGGCAGGAGTTCTGAGAGTTCAGTCCAGCCTGGGATGACCCACCTAGGGGCACCCTCTCCCAAGTGCTCAGAGGCACTGGCCCAGCTTCCCACCAGGCAAACCTGAGTCTTCAGATATCCACCCCTGCCTCTCAGGGTGACCTTCAGAAGGGGGTTGACCTCTCTGACACTTGCCTCCTCTTGTCTAGTTTTCCTTTTCTCCAGCCCCCTGATTGATTGCCTGATGGATACTGGTTGATTGATTTCCTTCTGGCAGAGCCTCAAGTAACCCAGACTTGCCTCAAACTCCTGATCCTCCCGCCTCCACCTCCTGAGTGTCGGGTTTACAGGCATGCTTGCTACTATGCCTAGATATATATTATTCAGCACTGGACATTGAACCTAGGTTTTTGTGCATGCTAGGCAAGCACTCTACCAGCTAAGCCATATCCTCAGTCACTTTTTTTTTTTTGAGACAAGTGAGTCTCAAATATCCCAGGCTAGCCGTGGACCCCGGATTCTCCTGCCTTTGCTTCCTGAATATCGACTTTATGGAAGTGCGGCATCATGCCTGGCTTTACTTCCTTGTTTCTGCTGACTGAAAGGCAGGTTAGAGTGGGCCCTCAGGTCAGTTTCTGGCTCTACCACCTTGACTGACGGACTTAAGAAATGACATCACTTCTGCAAACCTCAACGCCTCACAACTGCAGTGGGGCCAATAAAGCCATTTTAAGTGGTTGTTGAAGGCCTGAATGAAGTATGCAGGGAGTGCTTGTACAGTATCGGCCCGCAGTAAAAGTGCTCAGTGGGTGGCGGCCGGAATAATAATTTACCACGTAAAATAACTAGCATGAGGCCAGACACATAATTACTAATAAAAAAGGTTTGTATTATAAATTGGTGCACAAGGGTGAGTGGAGAGGATTTGGCTGGATGCGGTTCAGCAGGATTATGTGTGAAACAAAGGAGTCTTAGCCATTGCAAGCTGTGAGTGATTCAACCTGCACAAAGCTAGTGAGATCTCAAGCCATAGCAAGAAAAACAGTGTTTCTAGAAGATGAGGGGAGTTGGGGGCCCCAGTGCCCCCTCAGCCCTAATCAGATAACATCTAGAGAAGAGATAGGAAGGCACAGGGCCCGGAAAGAGGTCTTTCTTTCTCATCCTTTCGTTCTTCGCTGTTGTTTGGTTTTGTTTTCTGAGACACAGTCTCTCTACCTATGAAGCCCTGGCTGTCCTGGAGCTCAATACATAGACCAGGTTAGCCTCAGACTCACAGAAATCCCCCTGCCTCTGCCTCCTAAGTGCTGAGATGAAAGGCGTGGCACTACCCCTGGTTCAACACCTCTCAGTTTTTCAAGGAAAATAAAATTTTGTTCCTGACAAGTGTGCCTATGTGAACAAAAGAACAAGATACAGACGGCCCTTTCTCCTCTCTCTGACAGGTTGTGCCATATCTGGGTGTAAAATAAGCTGCAGATATTTGGGCAGGGCCGAACTGATGGAAAGATTTATAAATAGGACAGTAGGGCAGAGCCTAAGGCTACCAAGTAAGGGATTTTTCACAAAATGCCTATTTCGTTTTTATCTGGCGGAGTTCCGTTGCCTTGTATGCACGACTCCCTGGGTTCGGTCTCCGGCACTAGATAACCAGGTGTGGTGGTGTGTGTCTGTAATTCTAACCTTCTGGAAGTGGAAGTGAGGGAAACAGAGTTCAGGGCCATCCTCTACTACATTTGCAAGTTTGAGGCCAACCTGGGATAAATGAGACTTGATTTAATTGTTTAAATGTGTAACTTTTTTTTAAAAAATCTCTTTTCGCAGCTAAGAAAGAGTGGCAGGCTGGGTACCGCCTACCATTCAGCAAGTGACCTTCCCCCTCTTAAGATGGGGTCTCACTCTGTAGCCTTGGCTGGTCTGGATCTTGCTATAACATCCAGGACAGGTCCACCAGACGAGGTATGGCATCACCGCCAGTGAGCAGAACACTCTAAATCAATCATCAGTCAAGACAAAGCACCCCGGGGCTTGCCCACAGGCCTGTTTGGTGGGAACACCTCTCAACTAAGGTCCCTCTTCCCAAGTGACTCTAGCTTGTGCCAAGTTGACATAAAACTAGCCAACACAGGTTTATGCATATTCCTGGGTGTGGTGCTGGTTCTATAGGTGATAATGCGTTCATCAAAACCTAGAAAATCTATCATTTGGATGCATAAAGTTTTTAATACAGAGAATATAATGCTACAAGAAACCTGCTTGATTTTTAACATAGATCTCTTTTTCTTGTGAAATATTCAAAGTTATTAAATAGAAAATAATTTTCATCAAAGAGTTGTACATTTTCTTCCCACATGTCTTGCTCTGAAATAGAAATTACTGTGATCCGCTTCACTCTGAGGAAAAATAATGTCAAAATACTAATTGGAAAGTATTTTTAAAAGACTCAAACACCAAAGTCAAGCTAAAGTTATGTTTAGAAGCCTCTGCTTCACAGCATACAATGAAGTTGAATCGTTAAGTAACTAACATTCCCTGTTAACATAGTTCCAAAGACACGGAGAAGAAGTGGAGAAAAAGACGAAGTGGAGCAGACCTGTGTCACCCTCGATTCTCAGTATTTTAGTTTCTACCATTGCCTTCCCTGGACATATGCCAGGGAAGCATGTAATGAGCTGATTGATACCTGTGCGAGTGTTAAATGATCTAATCAAGGTCGAGAGCATACACATATCTTTAAATTTGTTTGATGTGCGTGCATGCGTGCATGTGTGTATGTGTGTGTGCGCGCGCGTGCACACACGCGTTTCTGATATATGTGAATGTGTGTACAGGATGCATACCTGTGGACATACTTCAAGAGGCCGAAGGAAGACATTACATGGTGTCTTGATCTCTCTTCACATTATTCCCTTGAACCTGAAGTGAGGCCGTCAACCAGCAAGCCCCAGCGATTCTCCTGTCTCCACCCGTGTGCACACACACATACATACACAGCTCCAGGCTACAGGTACATGGTACACCGTTTCTTACATGGATTTTGTGGATTTGAACCCAGGTCCTCATACCTGTACGGAAAGCACTCTTACTCACCGAGCCGTCTTCCCAGGCCCAGATTAACTTTTTCCTCTCTTACACAGATCAAAGAGAACATTTGATGTGTGTCTCTCTGTGTCTGAGTTATTTCACATAACATAATGTCCTCTGGTTCACTTTGGGAGTTTTTATGACTGAATACTATTCCACGTTCATGTGCAACACACTTCCTTTATCCATTCATGCAGCAGATACATGCCGAGCCATGTGAAGAGTTGCAGCAAACATGGGCACATCATGTCTCCTTCGTCCGATGGCTTCCTTTCCTTTGGATATGTTCCTGGAAGTGGGATAACTTGTCCCAATGGTATCTTTACTTTTAGTGTCTTGAAGAGCCACTACGCTGTACTCCTAAGTGACTATATTAGTTTATGTTTCTATCAAGTTATTTTTTTTTAACAAGCTTGGCCAGGGTCTTCCCTATAATTCTACTGCTTGGGGCCTGCTGTGGGCTCTGTACAACATTCTACACACCCACCAGGCTGAAACCTCGCTCTTCAGGGTCAGAGGGTCCAGCCGCGCTGAGCTGCCTGATCTGCAGCCTGCATCACCTGGAACCTTCCCTTTCTGAACTCAACTCTGAGCCGAGGCCTCTTGAATACCTCGGGTAATGTACTGAACTGTACACCCAAGTGCGGAACACAGTACCCCACGTCCCACCGTCCCCTCCTGCCATACTTCTCTCTTTGTGGGAGGGGCTTACAGTACCTGGATCTCCTTCCACGTTGGAGGAAATGGTATGATATGCTTCTGACCTTTAGCCCCCAGAGGCACCCCGCAGGTACCCATCCCTACTTAGAGATAAGCCTGAAGATAGGCTTATCTTCTATCTCCAGTCTCTGTTTCTTAACAGGGACTCAGGGCCCTGCCACTTCCTGCTCACCAGGTTTTGGTTTTAGCCACATGGTGCCATCAAAGTCTTGGTGTCCTGGGAGTAGCAAGACAATCAGGGCTCCCCATCTTGACTGTGGGTCCCAGGTGACCAGAGGGCAGGACCTTTCACAGGCCCTGACCCCCAAACTCCAAAGGCAATGCTGTACTCTGCTGAAGGGGCCGTCCTCTCCCTGTCTTCCTAGCCTAGGGATTCTCCCTTCCAGCCTCCAGAGACTCGGGAAGGGACATCTGAGAACTCTGGATGACAGTGTGGCTGCAGTCAAGGGAAGAGCCATTCTGAGAAACCATCCCCATGCCTGGTCTTAAGGTAGATCCCCTGAGACTGGAGTTACAGATGGTTGTGAGTCACCATGGATGTGTGGGGGACTGAACCTGGTGACCCCTGGTCCTCCGCAGGAGTAACAAGTACTCACAACTGCTGAGCCATCTTCCCAGCTCCCTTAAGATACATACATACATACATCTATATCTATATGTATATATATAGATATATATATACATATATAGTGTCTAGCCCAGAGCAGAGTGAGTATGTAGCCCAAGTATGTGCTACGTTGCCTCTTATTTGCTGGTCGTCCTCAGGGGGCAACTCCTCTCCTAGTGCCAAAGACACTAGGAAGATACTAGACTAGACGGCACGGGCATCAAGGCCAACGGTGACCGGCTCAACAAGGTCATCAGTGAACTGAATGGAAAAAACATTGAGGATGTCATCAGCCAGGATGTTGGCAAGCTTGCCAGTGTGCCTGCTGGTGGGGCTGTGACTGTTTCTGCTGCCCCTGGGTCTGCAGCTCCTGCGGCTGGTTTTGCTCCCACCCCACCTCACCCCCACCCCCACAGTAGAGGAGAAGACGAGAAATAGGAGGGGTCCGACGTGGGATTTGGCTTGTTTGATTAAATTTCTGCTCCCCTGCAAATAAAGCCTTTTTATGTTTGTTTGTTTGTTTGTTTGTTTATTCATGACCAGATGAGCAGCAGACGCTGGGGCTGGTTTTCTTCCCATGATGTCACAGATCATGGCACCTTCACTCCCATTTATAGATCAGGAAAGCTGAGGTTCAGAGAGGGTCTCGGCTACTTTCCTGTCACTGTCATAAAACACCACGGCCAAGGCATCTTACAGAGGGAACAGTTTACCCGCGGACTAGAGTCCATGATGGCAGAACAGAGGTAGCAGGCAGAGGTGGCAGGGGGCTGGGGGCTGCCACGAAGTTGAGAGCTCACATACAGAAACAAAAGTAGAAGTCAGAGTTGGCAAACTCAAAATGGCAGGAGTCCTTAGAAACTTGAAAGTCAGCCCCCAGGGACACACCTCCTCCCGCGAGGCCACACCTCCTAATCCTCCACAAACAGCGCCAAAGGGACCAAGTATTCAGATGTCCCTAGGCATTTCATTCAAACTGCCACAGAGAGCTTAAGTAATCCTCAGAGGTCACACAGTTTGTTAACCCCTAGAGTCTGGATTCTAGCCCCTTTTTTTCAGACTGCAAAGTCAGTCATGCTCCTGCCTCAAACTATACGATGCTGCACATTAGAATTAGGTTTCTGAACCAGCCTACAGTTCACAACCCCAGAGAACCTAGACAACAAAGAAGACCCTAAGAGAGACATAGATAGATCTAATCTACATGGGATGGAGAAAAAGACAAGATCTCCTGAGTAAATTGGGAGCATGGGGACCATGGGAGAGGTTAGAGGGGGAGGGGGAGGAAGGAAGGGAAGTGGAGAAAAACATATAGCTCAATAAAAAAATTTAAAAAAGAAAAGAAAAAAAGAAGGAAAAAAAGAATTAGGTTTCTAAATCTTGCCAAAGGGAAGGGAAAAAAACAAAACAAAACAAAACAAAAGGAGAGAGGATCTTTCTGTGCAGCTAAGGTTGACCTGGGATGCCTGTGTAATTCAGGATGCTCTCAACCTTTCAATCCTCCTGCTTCCACTCTCAAGGACCAGGATCATAGGTGTGCATGCTCTACCTAGTACAGTAGTACCTTTCTCAGATATGGTCAAAGCCATGCAGCCTCTTTTGTGTCTTGGTTTCCTTCTCTGTAAAATGATTCGGTATTTAATATCTATAAGAATTTATGGGGCACCAGACAAGATTCTAAATACTGGGGATATGAAGCAAAGAAAGAAGCTGCTCATCCCTGTCCCTTCACCTCCATTCTTGGGGAACCGGCATACTTTGTGGTTGAGGAAGGGAGCAGAGCAGTAAACGGCAATGTTTAGTACAACACGCAGAAGTGTTTAAAGTGCTTTAAGGCATAAATAGGGAAAGGGACCAGTAGGTGATGCTGGAGTTGAAATTTGATGCAGATTATATGACTTTTGGGGAAGACAGCATTCCAATTGGGAAAAACAGGCATAAAAATTCTGAGTCTGAGGTTGAGGAGATGGCTCAGTGATTAAGAGCATTGCTACACTTTCCGTAGACCTGGGTTCAATTCCCATCACTTACATGGTGTATCATGAGCATCTGTAACTCTACTTCTGGGGCATGTGATGTCCACTTCTGGTCTCCAAGGGCACCAGGCACACACATGCTGCATAGACGTAGATGCACACAAAACACCTACACCAATAAAATAAATAAATAAAATAGATCTTAGGCACTTAAAGACGCTACTGACCACTGGGTGGAAAACCAAAGGGCTCTTGGGCATGTAGCTCAGCTGGGAGGTCCAGGGAGGTCCAAGGTGGAGACAGAAATGCGAACTTGAGTTGCACAGGTGGATTTCTAGGAGGAAATCCGGAGAACACCTACTTCATATGGGGATTTAAAAGATTCAGACTGAACCAGTCAACCGTTCAAATGGTGCCTCGTACAGCAGGGACTCAGTAAAGGTCGGCTGTCATCACTGTCACTTAGTCTCTCGCCCTGTCCCCCAGCTTCAGGCCATGGCCACCCTCCCCCATGCCTATGGGGTCGATTTCCTGAAGTCATAGGTTTAGCTGTCCCTACCTCTCACAGCTGCAGCGACTCTGTTGCCGGCAGGATGAAACCCATATTTCACAGACTGCCCCGAAGGCCCTTCTTGATGCGGTCACAGCCACTCTTGCCAGCCCCACTTCTGCTACCTCTACCTCCCACTTTACACACCCCCCCCAGCAGTCATAGGAAACCCTTTGTTCCTAGCTTGTTGTCTTTGAACATGTGGCAGCCTCTGCCTTGACTTGTCCAACAGCAATCCCCTGTGATTCTCACAAGCTCTGGGAAGCCTCCCTGCATGCCCAGGCTGTCCCCTCCCCTACAGATCTGCTTCCTGCTCACCAAGGTGTGTGTGTGTGGGGGGGGGGGCTCTTCCCACGCTTTCTCCTGCAGCACCTAACATCAAGCCTGTCACAGGCAAGGCCCATGTGCCACAACAGGCCTCATTATTGCTAGCATGTCTCTGTTCACAAGGGCCAGCATGAGTTAAAGATCATGCTCTGATCACAGCTGACAAAGACTGGGACAATCAGACTCCAAGCCTGTCTGATTCTGGGTCAAGGTATACACACATGCACACACACTCATAAACACCACACACACACACACACACACACACACACACTCATAACTCACACATGCACACACATACATTCACACACACT